CTACAAGCTATTTATATTCATCGATTTGGCCGTGTGGGCCTGTGTAATTACCTAAGCAGTGCCAATCAAACGAAAAAGATTCAACTTGTTAAGAAGAAGACTTTCGCAGTACAGTCGGCGGTACGCAGTAAGAGAAGTAAGTACCATAAATCGTCGTTTAATATGGTGATTAGTATTTGACGCACATGTTTCTTAACGTCTTTGATGCCCCTAATCTGAATCATCTTTCTCTGAAAAAATATTGTCCAAGTAATACACGAATAATAAATAAAATAATAAGTAAATAATAATTAAAATAAATTAAATCAAAATTTTTTGTTAAATTTGTAGAAAAAAATTTTCATTGGTATGTAAATAAAAGCCGTGACAGTGTTTTTGTATTAAAATAATTAAAATAACACTATTTTGTATAAGAGTTCTTTTATAGTAAAAGACGCTTATGCGCGTGCACTTGGCGCTTTTTTTTCACTTTTTTAAAAAAAAAGTAATTTTTTAGCATAAATATTACAAAACTTGACATATCTTATTTCTATTTTTCGGGAAAACTAACCAGAATTGAGATTTTTGTCATATTTATTAGCAGGTTTGACTTTTTTTAAATCAAGAGTTTTTTCAACAGATTGTACAGGGTCATCTGCAAAAAAATCCCCGTAATCCAAGGATTGTGTGTCTTCGAGTAATAATTCATCCTCACGATTATTGTTGTCGTCAGGCTCCAAATGTATATTTTCATTTTTAATATTTTTTACGTTCTTACCTTTAGAGGCAATTGTTGGACCTAAATAATTATACACATACAACTAAATTAAAATACAATGATAAAATAATAAATGGCAAAATAATAAATTTAGACGAGTACTAGATATACAAAAAATAATGGAAATTATCTTATGATCTTTTTAACATTGAACAAGATTTTTTACCTTTTGTTTTAGATTCCACCGAATTTTTTTGTTTTTCGTCATCAACATTATATGCAAATGTAGGTTTAGGAACATTTTCTTTAATTTTAGTCGTAACGGCTAAGAAAAAAGTATAAAGAATTTATAGAGTGCATTTACAAAATATATAAATGTATAGATAATAACAAATTGATACACTACTCCCCGATTCATCATCGGCATCTCCATCGTCACTAGATGAAATTAAATGTGCCGGTTTTTTCGAAGACGTTTCTGCGGAAGTTGATCACTTTGATTAGTGATGCTTTGTAACGATTCTTCAACGTTAGTAGATGAATCAACAGCAGCAATTTCTACTGATCTGACAGTTTCGTAATCACCTTGGAAAAAATTAATTTATATAAATTTAATAATAATCAGGGAAAAAAGTATTACAGATAATAATTAATCATCTATCAATATTATATTGAACTTACTATACGGTCCTAATACTCTTGTGTATTTGATGGCAGTCCAATTATCTTTCGGATTAGTCGCTTTTTAACATTCCATCGTTGGCTTACTAGTTTTCGGGGACCATTGTACTTTCTGTGTTTTAACATTTAACCAGCATGCTGGCACAGTCGCACAACAATCATGGCAAAATGCAACAAAATACATCTGAAAAAAATATCAATATTTATAAGGACTAATGTGAGGTGATTTGTAATTCATATCTAATGTTTTGATGCTCTTTGTTGAATGTCGTTAGTTTCATATTTATTCGTTTGAAAAGTATTAAATTTTCTATTTTTTATAATTATTAGCATTCATTCAATACACTTACCTTAATTAATTGTTTTACAACGCACTAAACTGCATACAAGCGTATGGGTGTTTTCCAGCAAGATACACAGATAACACAGTGTAATACACAGTATCACACGATTGGCTATCAAATATAGAATTTTAAATTTCTTCATTTGTCTGTTATTCTTCAAAAAGGTTGTGTAAACATTTTTTATACTGTGATCGCTATACGTACAGAAGACGTAGCAGCGCTAGTAGCAACGCACGCAATTTGAATCAGAAGTTACAAAATTATTAAGTAAATATTATGTAAAATTATCAAAGAAAGATTTTATTTAACGTGTAACTACAAATCTTTTTAAAGTATTTTCATATAAATGTGAAAAAATTTAATATTTTGGTAAGTTACAACCAATGATTGTAATATAATTGAAAAGTATATAATTTTACATTTCACTTACGAATCACTTTCAAAAACTTCGAATTCATAACACTTTCAACAAATTATTAAATTAAACAATGTATTAATCGAATATATAACTGTACAAAAATGTTATGCAGATGAATGAAGTAATGGAAAAAAACAAAAATTCTTGTCATGAGGCAAACAAACGGCTTTTAAAATAACATCATTTGCAGTGAAGTCTTTTAAAGTGGACCAATTATTTCCAACTATTATATTCATTGATTGAGAATTAATTGGATAGTTTTATTAATTAACTGAGTTCATCAACGTTTCTTCTTGTAAAATAATATCGTTATTTTTTATACAAATATTTTCAATTCGAAGAACATCATAATTCTTAACATAACAAAATTTATCATTAATTTGACGAACCGAAAGTGTGAAAGTTTTATAATTAATTTTATCATATGAAGGGACTCCATTTTCTTTGGATTTATTAGTATTATAATTTGAAACTTGAAGTTTGATGAAAGCATTATTGTTTTGTAGATAGCTGCAGCTAGCTTGTTCTACAATTCTTTTATGTAATTGTTGCAAAGGCTTTTCGCCTTTTCTTAAGTGTTTCTTAATATTGTTTAAATAACTTTCGAATGCAAAAGCACTAAATGAATCCAAGTAACCAAATCTCATAACATCATCAGCCAAATGAATTAAGTTATGAACATTAAAAATCACGAAGTGCCTTTCATACAATTCAATAGATTCTTTGACGAAAAAGCGCAATAAATTTTTTGCACACTCATTATTATGGATGCAGTTAGTCTCGTGACACAGGATCCGTATGGCGCAATGTAAAATGTTAAAATGATATAAATATTCACTCGATAGATGATTTTTCAGAGCAAGTGAGCTTACATACAACAAAAAAGAACGCAGTTCAGTTGCTTTCCATCGATTCAACTCATCCAAACTTCGTGTTTTCCTAGTAAATTCAGTTGGTATCCATTTTCTTGACAAGATTAAATATTCCGAAATTTCTTTCATCATTTTGCTATTAAATTTTACAATTTGATTTTCATTTACGTGCCATCCTTTGATAAAAGCTTTTAACATTTTCTTAGTAACGCCAAGACAGACGAGATGCATATATTCCACAGGAAATTGAGATACCATACCGATATTTACTTTTTCAAAGATGGATTTTCTAATATGATGATCTTCATTTACTCGTTGTAGAAAATTGTCATCTGTGCGTAATGGTGCATCCATCTCTAGAAATAACATTCGACGATCTTCATATTCGCCCTCTTGCATACATTTACCACATCCAAAAAAAGCCATTATGTCCTTTTGTACATGTTACAAACGACCGAGCCGGAGAATCACAAATGATAGCCTAGTGAGCAATAAGTTATCAAAAAGAATTCTTAAAGTACTCAGATTTAAGAATTGGACATCCAACAACGCCATCTGAATGATAACATAATAATGTCAATAAGTCCTCTAATGCGTCAAATGTAGAGGAAAAAAAGACATCATATAAATGTCATCTTAGAGAACACTACAATCTGACTTCTTATAAATGTCAGGAAAATGTTACCATTAAGAATTGTTATTTATATTATTATTTTTACATACTTTATTATATAGAAGAAAAGTACCCAATAATATATATATA